TCCGGGCCCGTCCTTGGCGGACGTCGACGCGGCGGTCCGGGGCGTGCTCTCGGCGTCGACGGCCCAGGGCGGCAAGCACACCTTCGTCGTGAGCGTCAAGATCAAGAACGTCGCCTGCGAGAACTGGACGATGACCATGTACAAGTCCGCGGTCCGCCCGTTCATCCTGCTCTTCCACGACCCGGGCGAGAGCGCGGCGAGCCGCGTCGGCTTCAAGATCCCCGTCGTCTCCATCCACCGCTACTCGTCGGCGGGCGGCAAGCTGGCGTTCGATTTGGCGGAGAGGGCGACCTTCGTCGAGGGGTCGCACGCGAAGACGACCACGGTCGACGGCTCCGCGTTCGCGTCGGTGTCCAAGGTCTACGCCAGCGTCTTCATCGAGACGAGCGCCAACGACACGACGGGCGGCGCCGCGAGCCTCGAGGCCGCCTTCGTCCAGTTCAAGCAGTTCTGGGTCGGCAAAGGGCACACGCACCTCACCGAGACGCGCGCCATCTCGCCGACGGAGCAGTTCGGCTCGCGACCAAACTTTGAAATTCTCTGGCTCGGTCAATTCGACGTCGATTCGGCTGATTTTGGGACGAATCGATTGCTCTCGTCGAGTTCTCGAAGCACAGCCGAAGAGCTTGCGTCGAAACGGTCGCATACGCGCGCGTTGAAGTCGGGTTGAAGATTTGATTTCCACACAGGCAAGGCCGAGGCGCTCCGCGCGCTCGCGGCGGCCGTGCGCGCGGTGCGCGCGTGCGACCGCGCCGTGCTCGTCTTCGAGGACGTGAACCGGTTGCCCCTTGGCGCCCTGCGGCTCCTGGAGCCCCTGACGCAGCCCGTGCTCCGGTCCGGGGCCGACGCCGTCGACGCCGCGAAGGCGGTCGTCGTGCTCACGTCGGACCTCTACGGCGGCCCGGACGCGGGCGACTTCCTCCTCGAGGAGGGCATGGGCGTCGAGGACGCCGCGGCCGTCGTCGAGGCCCAGGGCGCGCGCATGTGGCGCGGCGCGCCGCCCGCGTGGTGGGCGCGCGACGTCGCCTCGCTCGCGCTGCCGCCCCTGGACGGCGCGGAGCTCGACGCGGCCATCGCGCTCTACCTGCGCCACGACGTCGCCCGCGCCGTCCACGACGCGCTGCGCTTCGCCTTCGCCGAGCTCCGCGCGGTTCTGTGCCGAATTCATCCGCTGGTCTGGGTGGTCCCGACCAAACTTTCAACCTCTCGAGCGATTCGGCTGATTTTTGGACGAATCGATGTCTCTCGTCGAGTTTTCGAAGCTTGCGTCGAAACCGTCGCATACGCGTTGAAGATTTGAATTCGGCACAGGCGCGGACGCGCCGGCCGCGAAGCGCGAGTGGACGGGCGCGTTCTCCTACGACGGCCGCGTCGTCGCGGACGTCGCCGCGTTCGTGCGCCGCGGGCCCGCGGACTGGCGCGCCCACGGCATCACCCACTTCCGGCACGCGGTCCTCGAGCCCGAACTCGAGGCCGCGGCGCGCGCGCTCCTCGAAAAGTCGCGCGTCCGCGTCGACGAGGCCCCGTGGTCCGCGTTCCACGAGACCGCGGCGACGACCCACGTCTACACGTCGTCCCTGCTGCTGCGGACGGCGGAGCGGCGCGTGAACCCGAACACGCCCTACGAGCGGGTCGTCGTCGACGTGACGTGGGACGTGGAGCACCTGCCGGAGGCGGTCTTCAGCGGCGACGCCCGCGTCGCGGTCGCGGGCATGTCCGAGAGCGTCCTCTGGATGATGGAGGGGGTCAAGGCGGTGCTGAGAAGGGTGCTGGGGTTGTGGTGATGTAAAGGGGGGTTGTTGTTGTTTGGGGATCTGGTGCCGCGACGCCTCGGCAGATGCCTCGGCGCGACTCGGAATTTTTTCTTGGATCCCTGGAGAGCGACTGACGCGTCGCACGGTCTCGTGCACCTTCTTAAGTTCGATTAAACCGACATATGGGGCGCCTAGACTCGAACGACAGGGGTGGATGTGCGGCGGCCCGAGGCCTCGGACGCCTCGGACGGGCCCCCGCACGACGCCGCGGCCCCGGGACGGGGGCCGGGGACGGCGGGCACGGGGGTTCCGGACCGGTAAACGCGCTCCGGGCACGCGGCCTGGCACGCGGCACGGGGCTCGGTACGGTCTCGGCGTGCGGCACGGGGTAGGTGGTGTGGATTTCATCGGCTTTTAATTCAATGTACTTGTAGACGTTGATCATCTCTCTCTCTCTCTCGCTCGTTTGTCGACTGAAATTTTTGGGCGGAGCTCCTACGAGGTGTGTTATGTATCTTCGCGCGAGGGGGGGTCGCGTAGAGCGCGACGACGGCTTCGATGGTGTTACTGGGCCAGGGCCGACCCAAATTTGTCGAGAAAAAAAAAATTCGCGACAAATAACCTGTCGGAGGATCCGCCTCGCCGTCAATCGTTCACCCCCCCGCCTGCTCAACCCCTTACTCCCCCCCTCCTCGACCCGGGACCCCCTCTTTCACCCGACCCTTCCCCCTCGTTTAGGCCACGATGAGGCAAGTGATGTGCGCCATCCTGGCGCTGGCGTTCGGCGCCACGGCGCTCGAGCGCGTCGCCGGCGGCGGCGACGTCGTCTACAAAGGCATCCCCGGCACGGGCGCGGGCGACGTCAACGCCCGCGTCTTCAAGGGCGTGCCCGGCACGGGCGCGGACGCGGACGCCGACGCCTGGGCGGGCGTCGCCGAGGACGCGAGCTCGCTCCTGAAGATGGAGGACACGCTCCGGCGCCAGCTCGAGAACAAGCGCGACTGGGTCTTCTCGTACGACTTCGCTGACGCCGAGCCGACGGCGAAGCCGACGTCGTCGCCGACGTTCACGCCCTGCGACGTCGAGGGCGAGTACCGCTACTACCTCGCGCTCTACGACTACGGCGGCGACGGCTGGGAGGGCGCGACGTACACGCTCTACAAGTACGTCGGCGTGCGCCAGGGCGAGCAGATCCTCACGGGCACCGTCGAGACGGGCTCCGAGGAGGTCATCAACTTCTGCCTCCCGAACGGCCTCTACGCCGTCGACTTCGGCGGCGGCTCCGACGACGGCGAGATCGGCATCCAGTTCCTGCCCGACGACCTCCAGATGATCACGACGTGCACGGGCCCCTGCGTCGAGCGCTTCCTCGCCGTCGACGGCATCGTCATGCCGCCGACGGAGCCGCCGACGGCGTCGAACTTCGGCCAGCCGACGGCGTTCGACGCGTCGCAGACCGCGTGGATGTACCTGTCCTTCCTCGTCGACGGCCTCAACGGCGAGGCCCTCATCTCCGAGGCGGGCTTCTCGGCCTTCGCCTACGCGATCAACGACGTCATCCCCTTCCTCACCGGGCCCGAGGCCGTCGCCGACCTCACGGCGACGTTCGGGGAGGCGCGCCGCCGCCAGCTCCTCCAGGCCGCGGGCGACGACACCGCGTCCATCGAGGCCGTCATCCTCATGGACACGTGCGCGATGGCGGGCCACAACTCGAACGACGACTGCCTCGACGCCATGGTCGAGGACGTCGCCATCGCCATCGCCGACGGCGTCATGCTCGAGCGCATCCTCTACTGGGCGGACTACTTCGGGCTCGACCTCGGCGACGACTTCACGGTGGTCTCCATCGTCTCGGACCCGGAGCCGTACTGGGTCTACGCGCCGACGGCCGCGCCGTCGGCCAAGCCGACGGCCGCGCCGACGACGACGACGACGACGGCCGCGCCCACGCCCGTCACGACGACCGCCGCGCCGCCCGTCACGGACGCCCCCGACTCGGGCTCGTCGTCCAAGAAGAAGTCGTCGGACGACGGCCTCGACTCCGGCGCCATGGCCGGCATCATCGTCGCCATCGTCGTCGTGCTCCTGTTGGTCATGGGCGGGGTTTACTTCAAGCAGCGCGAGAGGAAGGCCACTGAGAGGAAGGATTCCTGGGACATCTCCACCATGTTCACCGACGAGCAGAACCTGCCCCCGGCGGATCAGATGGTGGCCGAGACGCCCGCCGGCGACCAGCCGCAGGCGCTCCAGAAGATCACGCAGGCCGCCGAACTGTAAATCGCGATCGACGGCGACGTCGATGCACAACTTCCTCCTACGACCTCATCCTACGCCCTACGACCACCTCCTACGCCCTCATCCCACGAGCAGAACTTCCTCCTACGACCACCTCCTACGCCCTCATCCTTCCTGAACCTCCGCCGCCGAGGCAACGCGACGCGCGCTGCGAGCCAACGCAGCGCGCGCCGCACGAGCTAACGCAATTCCTCCCTCCAATTGTGTATTCAGTCCGCCGCAGATCACACTCACACTACGCCCGCTTCACTGTGCGGGCACGTCTGGTGGATAGAGGTGTCTCCGGGACCGGGCCTCGCGCCCTCGGCCGGCAAAAGAAGTCTACTCGCTGTGTGCAGACCTGCCTCTAAGCCCTGGTCTCTCCTCGACGAGGAGGGCCGCCGCAGGCCGACGCGGGCCCAACGACTCGAGTCACCTAGCGCGCTGACGACGCGGCGCAGGACGTTGTCGCAATGGCGTCTTCTATCAGAAGCGACGGTCTACAGCTAGGTGCCGGTAAATTTAGTGAGGTTAGCCCCGAATCGGACCTCCGCGGAGCGGCGGCGCCGCGGGCCGCGGGCCAGATGCCCCTACAGTACGATCTGACCGTCGGCGATCTCGTCGTTGCCGCGACCGCGTGGAAGGGCGTCATGGTCGGCGACCGCGGCGTCGTCGTCGAGCCCGGCGAGGACTTGCCGTACAAGCGCTGCCGCATCAAGTTCGACGACGGCAAGGGCACCTACGTCTACACGAAGGGCCAGCAGGCGCGGCGCGTGCCCATTTTAGGCGGCTACGTCTTGGGAGATGGCGTCCTAGCGAATGCCGCGCGCCCTGGCCAGATCAACGTCGGCGACCGTGGCGTCGTCGTCGGCCGGGGCCGGTCCCTGCAGGACGCGTTGCTCGTGCGCTTCCCCAACGGCGTCGATGCCGAGATTAGCGCGGGTCGCGCCCGGCCTGCGTCGGTGGTGGTCGTCCCCGGCGCGCCCCCGATCTTCAAGGGCGACGTCGTCCTCGCGTTAGTGGACTACGAGACCGTGACCGTCGGCGACCGGGGCGTCGTCGTCGGGCCCTGCTGCGACCCCGCGATGTCGCGCCCGGACCTCCGGGTGCTCGTGGACTTCGAGAACAAGGCCGCGTACAACTTCCGCTCCGACGCGCACCTCCGGCTCGCGCCGCTGGTGGAGGGCACGAACTTTGTGCGCGGCGACAAGGTTATTCTGCCGGGCCTGGACAAGAAGGTCATCGGCGTCGTCATCGGTGTGGGGCGCTGCGCGGGCACGCTGGCCGTCAAGGGATATGGCGCGCTGCCCAGAGACGTGGCCCTGGCCCGCCTCAAGCACGCGCCCCTCGTCGCCGGCGCGCCCCACTTCGCCAAGGGCACGCGCGTCGTCGCCAAGGTCGCCTACAACGAGGTCCGCGTCGGCGACCGCGGCGTCGTCGTCGGCCCCTGCATGCAGCCGGAGATGCAGAACGCGGCGAAGCGCGTGCTCGTCGACTTTGGGCGCAAGGGCGTCTACAACTACCATGTGGACACGCAGCTGACGTGCGTCCACGGCGACGAGGACGCGCCCGAGGTGGATCCTCCGAAGCAGAGCTTCGCTTTCGCGTTGCTACCCCAAGACGTGCAATGCGCCGTGCTCGCGCGCCTGCCGGCGGCTGACTTGCGCCGCGCGTCGTTGTCGTGCAAGGCTCTGCGCGCGCGCGTCCGCTCGCCGGCGTTCGCAAAGGCTCGCGCGGCCGCCGTCGACGACGCGCGCGCGCCGGTCGCCGTGGACGTCGTGATGCCGGGCATCCTCCGCGGCCGTCGATGCACGCGCGTGCAGGGCGCCGCGCCGGACGCGGGGCTGCTCATCTCTGGCGGCTACGCGGGACGTATGGACGGCTCGGAAACCTGGCTGCTCTCGGAGGGCGCCGCTCGAAGATGCGCGACGATGCCCGGCGATCGCACGACGTCCTCGGGCTTCGCGTGGCTTGGCGAGGAACTGGTCGTCATCGGCGGGCAGAGCCGGAAGTGGCAGAGCCTACATCCCTACGAACGCCCGCTGGACACGCGAGCCGACGAAGTCGCGGAGGTCTGGGCCTACCACCCGGGTCGCGACGCGTGGCGTGAGCTCGCGCCGCTTCCAATCTACGGCGGACTCGGGGACATGGCCTGTGGCGTCTTGAAAGACGGACGCCTGATTGTTTGCGGTGGAGCTGGTTCCACGCCTGATTATGATGGTTGCGTCATACCAGTCGACCAGGCGACAGCGTACGACGCCGACAGCGATACCTGGACGAAGATCGAGAACATGCCGGGCGGCGAACGCTACGGCATGGCGAGCGTGGTCCACGACGGCAAGCTCTTCGTCTTCGGCGGCCGGTACGAGGACAACGAAAGAAGCAATCGGTTATGCATCTACGATGGCAAGACGTGGAAGCGGGGACAGCAAGCTCCCTTCGGCGGCTCCCATCAGCACGGTGTGATCTTCGACGGCAAGTTCTACCTCCTCGGCGGTTACTGGGACACGGGTGATGAGGACGAGGATGAGGATGGCAATTTCCTCGGGTGGGATAAGACTATCGTCCTCGTCTACGACATCCGTGGCGATATCTGGGCCGCCGGGCCCCGCCTGAATCCATGCATCGGAGGCATCGCCGGGGCTGCCCGCTGCGGTGGCATGATCGTCGTGCTTCCGGAGCGGCGCTACTCAGACGAAGACGAGGCGCGCGCGAAAGTCCACGATCGCATCTACGGCGGCCCGAGAGAAGAGGATCACATCTACGCGTGGTGGCCGGCCCGAGGAATACGATTCGCAGAAGGGCCTATCGCGAACTGGGTCGAACTCTGGGACATCCCGAAGGCTGTCCGCAGAGCGAGCGGCCCCGTCTTTTGCGCCATCGACGATGGCAAGCCCATGCCTCCGGCCATGCTCCTCTACGAGCCCGGCGCGGAGCCGCTGCCTCCGGCCGACGAGCCGGCCGCGGAGCCGCCGCCGCCGCCTCCGAAGCAGCTCACCGGCGCGGCCGCGCTTTTGGAGACGCTGGACAAGTTCAAGGCTGCGAACGGCGGCGTCGACGACCGATATTACGCGGCCATGCGCAGCGCGCTCGAGGAGCTCGAAATCGAGGAGCGCGAGGAGCAGGGGTCGTAATCCCGACTTTTTAAGGGTATAACCTCCGAGGTGAACAGCAGCCGCTCCCCCACACGCAAAAAAAGGGCGCCCCAGGTGGTGGGTGGTGTATTCGAGGCGCGGGGGGGGGAAGGGGCGGCGGCGGCGCGCCGGGGCGACGGGCGCTCAGGCGATGGACTTGCGCTGGGGCTTCTTCCCCGGCGCCGCGCCGCCGACGACCTGCTTCGTCGCCTTGCCGAGCTCGACGGAGCCGACGCGCGACGCGAAGGTGAGCGTGCAGAAGGTCTCGTCGACGTTGTAGAGGATCGGCGAGATGCAGCAGAACATGAGGGTCTTGGAGTCCTGGCTCAGGCTGTCCTGGAGGAGGTGCGTGAGCGTCGAGTTGCGGAAGGGGATGTGCGCGGAGCCCTGCGCGCGCGCCGCGATGACGTCGCCGAGCGCGCTCAGCGACTTGTTGATGTTCTGCGCCTCCTTGAGCGCCTGGCCCGTGGCGCCGGACTTGGACGGCCGCTCGGAGCCCGCCAAATCGACGAGGTGGAGCTTGCCCACCGTCGTGACGCCCGTCGCCTTGTGGAACGACTCGACGGTCACGTTCATGAGCATGTGGCTCCGCGACGACTGCTCGTTCATGTCCGTCGACGCCATGGACCGCGCGCGGTCGCTGATGGCCATCAACTCGAGCACCTCGTCGTCGCCGCGGACGTCGACCTCCGTGAGGTCGGGCACGTAGTTGCCGCGGTCGCCCCGGCGGACCTCGAGCTTCTTCGCGCCGACCTTGTCGCTCAGCAGGTCGCGGATCTGCTCGTTGTAGACCTCGATGACGCTCACCTTGATCTTGTCGTCCGTGTCGCCGCGGCGGTCCGCGGCCTTGGCGAAGAGGTCCTGGAGGGCCCGGAGGTTGCAGCCGCGGTCTTCCGGCGGGCCCGTCATCGTGTACGTCTTGCCCGAGCCCGTCTGGCCGTAGGCGAAGATGCAGACGTTGTAGCCGTCGAGCACGGACGTCACGAGGCCCGAGATCTCCTCGTAGACGTCCGCCTGCTTGCTGTCGACGTTGAAGACCTGGTCGTACTCGAAGGTCTTCTCCTTGCGGCCGCTCGCGACCTGCGCGCGCGGGTACGACGGTCCGTCGGATCGGGACGAGATGTGTGGGATGGTCTGTCCATGTGTGCACCGAAGCTGTGCTTCACACCGGGGAATCGAGCGCCGCTCTCGCAAAACTCGCGACGTAAACAAGCGACGCCGCGCGCGACGTTGATCTCGCCGTCGTTGGGGAAGCTCACGCAGGACGCCATGTCCTCGCCCGCGTGCTCGCGCTCGCGCTTGGACACCGGGCGCACGCGGCAGAAGACGCGGATGTTGCCCCGGAGCTCCTGGACGAGGTTGTGGAGCCGCTTGCGCTCGCCGAGCTCGCGCTTGTACTTGCGCGTCGTCTCCGCGAGCTCGCGCTCCGTGGACCGGACGCGGCTCAGGATCTGGGCCGCGACGTCCTTGGACACGGCCGGCAGCTCCGCGAGCGTCGCGCGCGCCTCGCGCCGCGCGGCCGCGATCTGGGGCTTGAGCGCGCGGACCTGCTTCGCCAGGGCGCTCAGGGCCTTCGTGTTGCCCTTGGCGCTCTTCTTGGCCTTGGCCGCGGACTTTTCCAGGCGCTCGCGCTCCTTGTCGAATTTCGCGCGCTCCTCGGCGATGAGCGCCTCGACCTCCTTCTCCATGGCCGACATCAACTGCTCCTTCTCCTTCTCCGCGTTCTTGACGGCGTCGCCGTCGGCGGCGCGGGCCTTGGCCTTGGCCTTCTTGAGCGCCTCCTTGTGGTCCGCCTTGAGCCGCTCCATGGCCTCGGAGAGCTCCGATAGCGCGACGCCCGCGTCGCCCGCGCCCCGGAGCGCGGCGACCTCGCGGCGGAGCGCGGCGACCTCCTCGCCGTCGGCGGTCGACGACCCGCCGCCGCCGCCCGCGGGGCGGCCCCGGGCCTGCTCGAGCTCGCGCGCGCGCGCCTTGGCCGCGCGCGCGTCGTCGCGCGCGGCGTCGAGCTCGTCCTCGAGGTCGCGGATGCGCTGCTCCGCGTGGCTCGGCTCCGGCGCCGTCAGGGTCGTGCCGCCCTCGACGTAGCGCCGCTCGAGCTCGTCGCGCGCGTCGACGAGCGCCGCGTTCTCCGCGCGGAGCGCGTCGAGCTCGGCGTCGGACGCGCCCTCTATACCGCCGGCCTCGATCTCGCCGAGGATCCACGCCGTCGACTCGCGGAACGCCGCCGCGCGGCCCGCGAGCTCGGACGACGCGCCCCGGTCCAGGGCCTCGGACAGCAGCTCGCCCTGCTCGCCGAGCTTGGACGCGAAGAGGCGCGTCATGAGCGCCGCCTGGGACCGGCACTGCACCTTGAGCCGCTCGCACTTCTCCGCCGCCCGCCGCTCCTTGAGCAGCGCGCGCTGCAGCTCCTTGTCCGACATGGTTGCGCTTGTTGGGCTGCCCCCACGTGCTTCAGACGGCAGCCATCGTTGCTCGGACGCTCGAAAATCGCGGGCTGCCGAGCTGCCGTTCACCGCCGGGTTCAGCGAGGCCCTTGTTGCCCTCCCCACAACTTTGTGATCGCGACGCACGCCTGCGCTCTCGAGCGGCAGAGCGCGTCGCGGCGGCGCGTAGTGACGCGTTGCGCGCGCAGCACACCTCGGTCTTCGGTGCTCGCAACGCGCCGCGCCGCGCGGCGCCGCGCGAAGCGCTGCAACCGCCTCCGCGCGGCTGGTCTCGGCCGCCGCGGGCTTCGTGAACCATGAGCCAGTACCCGTACCGCGAGGCGAGCTACCGCAGCACGGCGCACGTCGACTTCGAGCCGCCGGCGTGGTGGGCGCCGCACTCGAGCGAGACGCACCTGCTGCGGGAGACGCGCGCGACGATCGGCCGCATGCAAGACGCGGACTTCATGACGTGGCTCGACGACCGCGGCCGCGAGGGCGAGACGCTGACGTTCGCGGGCCTCTGGCGCAAGGCCCTGGCCGTGTCGCGGAAGATGGTCGACGACTGGGGCGTCGAGACGGGCGACCGCGTCCTGCTGTGCTACCTGCCGGGCATGGCGTTTATGATCGCGTTCTGGGGCTGCCTCCGGCTGCGCGTCGTCGCGGTGCCCGTCTACCCGCCGGACCCGAACAAGCTCGCCCTGGGCCTGAAGAAGCTGGACCTCGTGAAGCAGTCCTGCGGGTCGTCCCTGTGCCTCACGGAGAAGGCGCTCGACCAGATGCGCATCGCGCTGTCGTTGACGCACCGCTGGCCGCCGGGCCTCGTGTGGAAGCGCACGGACCGCGAGCTCAAGTTCAAGGACGCGTCGGACCCGGACGTGCCCCTCCTCGACGACGCCGTCGCGTTCCTCCAGTACACGTCGGGGTCCACGGGCGACCCGAAGGGCGTCATGCTCACGTTCGCGAACGTCCGCGCGGAACTCGAATCTTCCACCCGACTTCCATGTGCGCAGTTTTGACGCAAGCACTTCCGCCGTGCTTTGAGAACTCGACGAGAGCCATCGATCCGTCCAAAAATCAGCCGAATCGACTTCGATTCGACCGAGCTAGAGAATTTCAAAGTTTGGTCGGGACGTCCCAAACCGGCGGTCGATTTCCACACAGGCGAACATCTGGCACAACCTCAACGAGATGTACCTGCCCGCGCAGCGCCACCACCTGGCCACGCGGGGGGTCGCGGCCGGCGAGCGCATCACGGGCGTGTCCTGGCTGCCCCAGTTCCACGACACGGGCCTCGTGTTGTGCATCGTCGGGCCGTTCGTCGCGGGCTACCGCATGGTGAACTTTTCGCCGCTCACGTTCCTCAAGATGCCCCTGCTGTGGCTCGAGGCCATGTCCAAGTACGGCGCCCACTGGTCCGCGGCGCCGGACTTCGCCTACGAGCTCTGCGTGCGGCGCCTGGGCGAGCGCCAGGGCAGCAAAAGAGAGCGAAATTCCCAACTTCAAAGGCTCATATCTCGGCCGTTTTCCACTCGTTTCGGCTGATTTTTGGACGAGCGATCATCTCTCGGAACGGTCTCGAAGCGTGGATGCTTTTTCCGGAACGCGCGCGCGCGAAACACTCAAGTTGAAGCGACGTTGAATCGCCCTGGTGCTGCCCAGGCGAACGCGCGGCCAAGGACGCGAAGGCGAAGGAAAACGGCGACGCGCCGAAGGCCCACGCGCCCATCGACCTCGCCTCGATCCGCCAGTTCGCCTGCGGCGCGGGCGAGCGGTGCCGGCCGGCGCAGCTCGAGCGGTTCATGGAGACCTTCAAGCCCTACGGGTTGCGCGAGGACGTCTACGTGCCCAACTACGGTCTCGCGGAGCACGTCGTCGGCACGTGCGGCTGCGCGCGGGGGCTGATCTTATCGAAAAGCCGGCCGGACCTCGCCTGCTGCGGCGAGGACTTCCAGTGCGACCTGAGGATCGTGGACCCGACGAGCCGCCGCGAGGCGACGCGCGGCGAGATCTGGATCTCGTCCAAGTCCGTCGCCGCGGGGTACTGGGGCAAGAAGGAGCTGTCGACGGAGACGTTCCACGCGCGGCTCGTGTTAGACGACGCGGGCACGGAGAGCCGGAGCCGCTACGTGCGCACGGGCGACGAGGCCTTTTTAGAGGACGGCATGCTCTTCATCAACGGGCGGCTCAAGGACCTCATCATCGTCGGCGGCAAGAACTACTACCCCGAGGACATCGAGGTCGCCGCCCAGGAGGCGAACCGCGACGTCATCCGGCCCGGCTGCGTCGCGGCCTTCGCCGCCGAGGAGAACGCCGCGGGCGCCGAGGAGAAGGTCGTCTGCGTCTTCGAGCTCCGGAAGAGCGCGCCGAGCGACGCCGCGACGCTGAAGGCGCTGACGGACGACGTCGCGCGCGCCGTCGGCGTCGCGTCGGGCCTCCAGCCGGACCGCGTGCTCGTCATCCCGGAGCGGTCCATCCCGAAGACGACGTCCGGCAAGGTCCAGCGGCGCCAGACGCGCGCCAAGGTCCAGGACGCGTCGCTCAAGGTGCTCTTCGACACCGCGGGCGTCATCGAGCCGATGGCCCGGAGCTACGGGCCCCTCGACCTCGTCCGCGACGCCATCGCGGCCTTCCCCTGGACCTTCGGCGTCGCCCCCTGCGACGGCGCGGACAAGGACAAGGACAAGGACGCGCCGGAGGCCGACGCGTCGCCCGCGCCGAGCGAGGCCGCGGAGACGCGCGAGCGCGCGGCGCCGCCGGCGACGCCGTCGAAGCGCGCCGCGGAGGTCGAGGCGACGCTGCTGGGCGCGATCCGCGCCGTCGCGACGGGGCCCGTCGTCGCGACGACGGCCTTCTACGAGCTCGGGCTGTCGAGCCGCCAGATGGTCGAGCTCCTCCGGAAGATCGAGGGCGAGTTGGATCTGGAGCTGCCGCCGACGGTCGTCTTCTCGTGCCCGACGGTGCGCGCCCTGGCGGCGGAGATCGTGTCCATGACGGGCGGCGGCGACGACTCCGACGGCGAGGGCACGGGCGCCCAGGCGGGCTTCGACGGCGTCGGCGCGCGCGGCGGCCTGAGCCGCCGGGGCGCCGCGCCGCTCCGCGTCGCGGCCGCGCGGCTCCGGCTCCCCGGGAGCGCGTCGAGTCTCGGCGCGCTGCGCGCCGTCGTCCTGTCGAAGAGCTTCGGCGGGTCGCGCGTGCCCGCGGCGCGCTGGGACTGGCGCGCCGTCGACGCCGCTCTAGCGAGGCGCGGCGGGAATCCCGAGGCGCGCGCGCGCGCGGCCTACGGCGCCTTCTCCGACGGCGCGAGAGGGTTCGAGCCGCGGCGCTACGGCTTCCGGCCCGCGGAGGCCGCCGCGCTCGACCCCCAGCAGCGGCTCCTCCTCGACCTGACCTACGGCGCGTTGGTGTCTCGGTCGCCGGACCGGTGCGCGCTCCGCGGCGCGGCCGTGGGCGTCTGCGCGGGCATGATGTCCATCGACGCCGTGCTCGGCGTGCCCGCCGTCGACGTGGGGCCCCACGACCTCACGGGCAACGGCTACGCCGCGGCGGGGAGCCGGCTGAGCTTCCTGCTGGACCTACGGGGCCCGTGCGTCGTCGTCGACACGGCGTGCTCCGGCGCGCTCGTCGCGGCCGCGCTCGCGGCCAAGTTCGTCCGCGACGGCGACGCCGACGCGGAGATCGCCGGGGGCGTGTCGCTCATGCTCGCGCCGTCCTTCGTGCACGTGGGCGCGGCGGCCGCGGGCATGACGTCGCCGAGCGGCGCGTGCCGCGCGTTCGACGCTTCCGCGGACGGCTACTGCCGCGGCGAGGGCTGCTCCGCTTTGCTGCTCGAGCCCGCGGACGATTCCGGCGCGCCGGCGCCGGCCTGGGCCGCGTCGACGTGCGCGCACAACGGCCAGTCGGCGACGTTCACGGCGCTGAACGCGACGTCGCAGCGGCGCCTCGTCGAGGCGTGCCTCCTGGAGGCCGCGGCCGCGGGGCCCGCGCGGACGCTCGGCGCCGTCGAGGCCCACGGCACGGGCACGCGGCTCGGCGACCCCATCGAGCTCGGGGGCCTGGCGGCGGCCCTCGGCCGGAGCCCGGGCGCGGTCCGCGTCGCGGGCGTCAAGGGGTGTTTAGGCCACGGCGAGCCCAACGCCGGCGGCGCGGGCGTATTCGCGGCGCTCGGCGCGCTCGCGGGCGACTCGGCGCCGAACGGGCGCCTGCGGCGCGCGAACCCCGTGACGTCCCTGGCGAAGCAGGGTTTGGGCACGTGCAAGCTCGCCTTACCGGCGGACGGCGCGCCCGACCGCGGCGCGGACCGCGTCGCGCAGGTCGCGGCGCCGGGCTTGCTGGCGACGGCGGGCGTGTCGAGCTTCGGCTACTCGGGCATCATCGCCCACGCGATCCTCGCCGCGTCCGACGGCCGGGAACCCGCGAAAGTCGCGGGCGACCGCGACCGCGCGGCCGACGACGGCTTTTCGCGCGGCGGCGGCTTCGCGGCGGCGGCCGACGCGCGGCGCACGTTTACGGCCGAGGCGACGCGGAAGCGCGCGCCGGGCGAGGTTTCGCGCGCGCGCGCGCTCGAGACGTGGCGCTTCGCCACGAACGCGTCCCTCGGCATGAAGGTCGCCCTCGCGCCCGACGGCGCCGAGTGGGCGTTCCGCGGCCGCGCGGCGCTCGCGACGCTCCTCGACGGGGCTTTGGCGGCGGCCGCGGCCGTCGCGGCGCTCCGCGGCGCCGACGACGCCGCCGTCGTCGGCCTCGCCGACGTCGAGGTGCCCGCGTGCCTGCCGGACCGGCGCTACGCGGAGATCGTCGTCGCGCGGCTGTCCGTCGTCGGCGACGCGGTCGAGTGGGCCGCCGGCGGCGACGTGCTCGCGACGGCGACCCTGCTGCCGCCGAGCGACGCGGCGCTCGGCCCGCGGCGCCTCCGCGGATCCGCGGAGGAGGCGCTCGACGGCGCGGCGTTCTACGCGCGGCTCCGCGGCGCGACGAGCGCGCCGCCGCGCGTCGTCGGCGCCGCGGGCGTCGCGCGGGCCTTCTCGGGCGCCCGCGGCTCGAAGCTCGCGCTCGTCCGCGGCGCGCGGCCCGGCCTCGTCGACGCGGCGCGCCAGCTCGCGAACCCGGGCGACGGCAAGTGGCACGAGCCGACGTCCGTCGAGACGGTCTTCGCGGCCGCGGTCCCCGCCGCCGTCGGCGCCGCGCCCGCCGCGACGCTCCTGTCCATGCGGCGAAGCGCGGGGACGCTGTCGTTCGCTTCTTCTGCGCTCGCGCTCGCCCGGCTTTCGGTATCGCCCGTCGAGCCGGCGCGCTACCGGACGGCGGCCGCGCCGCGCGCGCCCGCGCTCTACGACGTCGCCTGGGGGGAGGCGGCTTCGTCGGCCGGTTCCTGCCGCGTGACGCTCCTCGCGCCTCGCACGCGCGCGTCGGCGCTCCCGCGGGCCGTCCGGAGCCGCTCGGCGACGCCGCGCTACGTCCTGGGGCGGCGCGCCGCCGACGCGCTCGCCGCGCCGCTCCGTCCCGCGGCGTCGCGCGTCGGCTCGTCGGCGTCCGTCGCCGTCGACGGTGTCGCGCGGCTCTTCGGGGACGCGGACGACGCGGACGCGGCCGTCGCGCGCGCGCTCGGCGGCGGAACCGTCCTCGAGGCGAAGCTCGTCGTCGCCGCTTCGCGGCGCGGCGGGCCGCTGGTCGTGTCCGGCCTCGAGGTTTCGCTCGGGCCGGCGACGGCCCTCGGGCTGGGCTTGCTTCGCGCCTTGGCGGGGGCCGTCGAGACCGTCGTGCTGACCTCGGATCGCCTCGAGGCCGCGACGGCGGCCGCGGTCGTCGACGCGGCGCCCGAGCGCGCGGTCGTCGACGCGACCGCCGAAACGGCCGTGTCGCGGCGCGTCAACGGCTTTCGAAGCGACGCGCTGTGGACGCGGGCCTTCGTCGGCGGCGACGACGCGCGCGCGGCGGCGCGGGTCGACGCGCGCCGTCGCGGTCGCGACGTCGCGGCGGTCCGCGGCCGACTCTCCGTCAAGAACGCGCGCGAGGCGTCGGCCGTCGCCGAGGCCGCGCTCCGCTGCGCGACCGCATCGCCGGCGCTCGCCTTCTCCTACGAGGCCGCGCTCCTGAGCCCCGCGAGGCTCCCGAGCCCCGCGAAGGCGGCGCCTCCGCGCGAGGCCGCCGCCTACGCCGCGGCCGCGGTGACGCCGCGCCAAGCGGCGACGAAGGCGGCCATGGCCGTGCTCGGGCTCGACGAGATCGATCCCACGGCGAACCTCGGCGACCTGGGCATGGACTCGCTCCAGGGCACGGAATTCGCGCGCGAGGTCGGCGACCGGCTCCGGCGGACGGTGTCGCCGTCGATCCTCGTCGCCGCGGAGACGCTCGACGAGGTCGTCGCGTTGCTGGAGGCGGAGTGCGTGTCCACGGAGGACGTTCCCGAGGCGCCGGCGCGGCCGCCCTGGGCCGAAGAGGTGCCGGACGCGCCGCCGGGCGTCGCCGCGTTCCCGTCGTCGCCGGACCAGGAGCTGCTGCTCTGGATGCTCCGGCGCCGCGACAAGCGCGCGAACGGCGCGGCGAAGGCGGGCGGCTACGCCTGGCTCCCGCCGACGGCCGTCGGGAAGCTCGTGGGCAAACTGGACGCCGGCAAGTTGAAGCTCGCGCTCGACGCCGTCGTCGACCGCCACGACGCGCTGCGGTGCCGGCTCGTCGACGTGCCCGGCGCGAACCGGGCCCTCGTGGTCGTGGGCGCCGACGCGAAGCCAAAGCTCGAGACGGCGGCGGCGGACTCCGTCGACGGGGCCGTCGCCGCGTGCCAGGCCTACTACGACGCGGACGCGAACGACCCCTTTGCGGCGCGGTCGCTGCTCCGCGCGCTCCTCGTCGCCGTCGACGCCGAGACGCACGTGCTCTTCCTCGCCTGCAACCACGCCGTCTCCGACGGCTGGAGCCACCAGGTGCTCTACGGCGAGCTCGTCCTCGCCTACAACGCGCTCGTCGCGGGCCGCGCGGCGACGGCGGACCTGCCGGCCGTGCCGCGGAGCTACGGCGCGTTCCTGGGCTGGCAGGCCTCGCTCGTCTCCGACGGCGCCTACGGCGGCGCCGCCGTCGTCGCCCAGCGCGAGGCCTACGCGGCCGCGCGGCGCCTCCCGGACTGGCCCCGCGAGACGCCCGACGCCGTGCAAACGCTCTTCTCGACGGGCGCGCTCCTGCGGAGCGACGCCGCGGCCGTCGTCGACGCGGCGACGCTCGGGAAGCTCAGTGCCGTGCTCCGCGGGAGCGCCTGCGGCCGCGCGTCGCTGCCGTCGGCCGTGCTCGCGGCCTACGCGTTCGCGCTCCGGTGGCTGCCAGGGCAGCAAAAGGGTGATTCAACGTCGCTTCAAAGTGAGTTTTCCGCGCGCGTGCGTTTCAAAATCAGCGCCCACGCTTCGAGAGCGCTCCGAGAGATGATCGCTCGTCCAAAAATCAGCCGAAACGAGCGGAAAACGACCGAGATAGGAGCCTTTGAAGTTGGGAATTTCGCACCCTTTTGCTGCCCAGGTGGCTCCCGCGCGGCGCGGCGAGCGTCGTCCAGTACTCGCACAGCGGCCGCGTGGGCCACGACGAGCTCCACCGGACCTACGGCCAGCTCGCGTCGGACATGAACGTCGTCCTGCCCCCGCGGCCGGCGGGCGACGGCTCCGTGGGGGCCTTCGTCGCGCACGTCCACGCGTCCGTGCTGGACGCGCTATCGCTCGCGGCCGTGCCCTACGCCGTCGCCTACGGCGCGGCCAAGGGCGGCCCCGACGCCGAGGCGCCCCTGCCGGCGCAGTACAACTGGTACGACCGCTACACGGACGTCGTCCCCTGGGCGGGCCTCGAGGCGACGGAGCTCGGCGTCGACGCGACGGCCATGAAGCGCAAGACCTTCAACGTCGGCGCGATCTACCTCATGGCCCTCGTCCAGGGCGACGGCGCGCTCCTGCTCAAGTTCTTCTTCAACGAGCACGTCTACGCGCGGGCGACCGTCGACGCCGCGCTCGCCGACGCGTCCCGGTTCCTCGCCGCGCTCGCCGCGGGCGCGGACGCGCCCGTGCCGGAATTGTAGCTGCCCCGGGGTGGTAACTCTTCTAGAGGGCTTATTTACAGCTCCGGCACGAAGATGCACTCGGCGCGGTGCCCGCTGCGCCACGCGGCCTTCTGGCAGTCGCGGCTGCAGTAGCGGCGACTCATGCAGCCACCGCAGACCTGGAACGGGGGCTGCACGATGCTGCCCTCGCCTTCGCAGTAGGCGCACGTGCGTTTGCGCAGCGCGCGGCGGACGCGAGGCTGCGCCAAGAGAAGCTCGACCATTTCGTCCTTGCCGCCGCGAGCCCGCGCGGCCTCGAGCGGAGTCCAGACGTCAGGACTGACGTAAGTCGGGTCGGCGCCGTGTTCGAGCAGAAGTTGCGCAACTTTGATGTGATCCTCTTCGCCGAAAAAGGATGCTGTCAGGAGAGCCGTCCTGTCGTCCATCAGCCCGTCGACCTCAGCTCCGAGACCTAGGAAAAGCTGGACGACGCGATGGAGACCTTCGGAGGCCGCGTACCACAGCGGGTAACCGCGGTTAGCAAGAACGCGTGTGGCATCAGGCATTTGGCGGCTGCGCTCCACCACTTCGACGAGTACGTTTGCACTATCGCTAAGAACATACAATAATTCAGCATCTAGGTTGTGCCGCTCCTTTGAGAACCGTTTACCGAATCGTCTACCGACTCTGTGAGGTCTCGTGCGATGCGCGTCGCCGTCCAGCTCAATAAAAGCGAGGAGGCACAACTTCGCTACCACCCGATCTCTTCTACCGAAACCCAGCGCGCCGCCCGGCGCAGTGGCCTTATTGCGCACGTCCATCATGACTCGGGCTGGGCTCTGGGGAAACAAAGACCTGCGCACCACACAGGGCACTCAACTTGACGCGAGATCGAGACGATAGCGAGAGCAATCTCGAGTGCAAGCCATGGCCGTCCGCCACGTGACGAAGATTAGCAGCCTGACGCGCCCGGAGGTCGCCGGCGTGCTGCGGCTCGCGCTGGACATGAAGGCGCGGCCGGAGGACTACCACGACGCGCTGAAGCGGAAAACCTTACTCATGCTCTTCGAGAAGCCGTCGCTGCGGACGCGCGTGTCTCTCGAGGCGGGCATGACGAGCCTCGGCGGCCACGGCATCGCCTACATGACGGGCGACAGCCCCATCGGCGTCAAGGAGTCCTACGAGGACACGGGCGCGGTCCTGAGCCGCATGGCCGACGCGGTGACGGCGCGCGTCAAGTCGCGCGACCAGATCGCGGGGCTCGCGGCGAACGCGACGATCCCCATCGTCAACGCCCTGGACGACTACGCCCACCCCATGCAGATGCTCGCGGACCTGCAGACCATCGTCGAGCACAAGGGCGGCGACGCCCCGGACGTCGAGCGCGCGCTCGGCGGCAAGGCGCTGGCCTTCGTCGGCGACTGCTGCAACAACGTGACCTACGACCTCATGCGCGCGGGCGCGCTCATGGGCCTCGACGTCCGCGTCGCCGGGCCGACGGGCGAGGGCTTCGACGTCGAGCCGTCGGTGCTCGAGGAGTGCGCGGCGCTCTCCGCGGCGCCCGGCGGCGGCGCCGTCACCGTCTGCGCGACGGCCGAGGAGGCCGTCAGCGGCGCCGACGTCGTCTACGCCGATTCCTGGATGTCCTACGGCATCGAGGGCGCCGCGCGCGACTCGCGGCTCGCGGCGCTCATGCCCTTTCAGGTGACGACGGACCTCATGACGCAGGCGGCGCCCGACGCCATCTTCATGAACTGCCTCCCGGCCGTCCGCGGCGAGGAGCAGACCGCCGACGTCATCGACGGGCCCCAGTCCGTCGTCTTCGACCAGGCGGAGAACCGGCTCCACGCGCAGAAGGCGCTCCTCGTCAAGCTCATCTGCAAGGAGCTCTAGGACCTCGGGGCGGGGGCTCGCGCTAAAGAACACGTGAAATCAAAGCGGGTTGAGGCGTTGTTTTGAGCTTCAAGGTCGCGGCAGCGTTTTATGTTGAACCCATCATTGACTCTTTGCCGCGCCGGCCATGGCGCATGGCGCCCGTCGGATAGCCAGCACAGCTGCTCGACATTCATTGTGATAGCCAAGCGCTGCTCGGCGACGATGCAGCCGCAGCCCAAGACGCTCGCGGCCGCCGCGCGCGAAGCGCTGCTCACGCAAGCGCGCGAGCTCGAGCGCTTCTGGCACACGCCGGCGCTGCGCCTGCCCATGCTCTGCGTCTGGACGGCGTCCTTCGGCGGCGCCCTGCACTATCCTTGTACAACCTACTTTTATCTGCTGCTCGGCGCGACGAAGCGCGACATCGGCAACTTCGGGCTCGTCGTCTACTGGCCCGACGTCGTTCTGGCGCCGGTCTACGGCCACGTCGTCGACGCGCGCGGCGCCTACCCGGCGATCGTCGCCACGGCCTGCTCCTGCCGGCGTCCGCGGCCATGACGACCTTCGAGAGATTTGACTGGGAAAGCGATGAAACACTGTCACTGACGTGCTTGGTAGGCTCCTGCGCGCTCGGCTGCCTCGTCCGCGGCGTCGCGCCCGTCGGCGGCCTCGGCTGGTTGTACGCGGGCAACCTGATCATCGGCCTCGGCGCGTCGAACTTGTGGACGTCGGTGCTCAGCCACGCGACGCGACACACGGAGACGGCGCGCCGCGAGGCCTGCGTGTCCGCGTTCTTGTTCCAGGTCGCGGCGCTGCGCATCCTGGGCAAGGGCGCCTACGTGCCCTGCGTCCGGATCCTCGCGGCGCTCGGCGTCGCGGAGCCGCTGCGCCAGTACCGCGTCCTGATGGTCGTCTGCCCGCTGTTTTGCGGTTTCTCGATCATCTTCTTGGCGCTCCGCGGCGTCTGCAACCCGCGGACGCCCGTGCCGACGGAGGACCCCGAGGACGTCGCCGCGAAGGCGCCCGCGTCCGCCCTCTTGCAGGACGAGGACGACGCCGTCGTCGGCTGGGGGCCATTCTCGGTCGTCGCCGGAGCGGTCTTCGTCGACGCCGTGTGCCGAACGGCGATCGCGGTGCTCTGGCCCTTGTACGGCCGGGACCTCTACGGCTGGGGCGGCTCGGCCTTCGCGGGGCCCTACTTCCTCGAGGGCCTCGCGTCGACGGCGGCCGTCGGCCTCGCGCCGTCGCTGTCGTCGTACGCGGGGACGATGGCGCGCGCGTCCTCGGTCCTCGCGGCGCTCGCCGCGGCGCTGGCCGTCTGCGCGCGCGACGCGCCCGCGGCGCTCTTCTCGCCGGCGTTCATTTGTTTGCAGGCCGTGCTCGCGGCCAAGGACCCGCTCGGCAAGGCGCTGGGGACGCTGAGCTTGCCGAGGCGACACCAGGGCCGCGCGGTCGGACGCGCGTTCGCGGCGCTCGGCGCGCTGCGGGCCCTCGGCGACGGCGTCGGCCACGTCGTCGCGACGCGGCTCTCCGCGGACGTCGCGCTGCTCGGCGTCGCCGCGGCGCTCGCCGCGCAGGCCGGCGCGCTCGCCGCGGCGCGGCTGCGGAAGTAAAGAGGTTCATGCAACCGAGACCTCAACCTGGCATGAGTAGACCATGCCGCTCCCTTACCCCCGCCTGAGGTCATAGCTTCCCCCCGGCGGGGCACAGGAGAGGCGTGGTCTACTCATGTCAGGAAACATTCCATGTCCGAATAGGTATAATACTAAGTGGGTTTTACTAGAGCCGCGGCTTCTGGGCGCCGACGATGAGCGCCGCGGGCGGCGGGAGGAAGTTGGACTGCTGGAGGCTCTTCTGGGGCAGGTCGTGGTAGACGGGCGACTCCGCGAGGTCCTCCTCGATGTCGAGGAGCATCTCGAGGAGCTTCTCCTTCTTCTGCCGGTCGACGCCCGCGAGCATGTCGCGCAGGAGCACGTCCTTGCCGTCGACGGGCTGGGGCGCCTTCTTCTCGCGGCGGTTGTTCGCGGCGTAGAGCACGGGCTTGTAGGCCTTGGCCCGCGGCGGCTTCCCGCGCTTGCCCCGCTTCTTCGGGTGGCCGTAGAGGTGCGCGCCGTGCGTCGCCGACGCGCGGTAGGCCCCCGGCTTGGCCGCCGGCGCGGCCGCGGGCTTGCCGTCGTCCTCGCTCGCGGGCCGCCGGCTCACGCGCGGCAGCGGCGCGGCGCCGTAGCGCGCGCCGTCGTCGCGCGCCGCGCGCTCCGCGCGCGCGCGCGCGGCCGCGTCGCGCGGCCGCCGGTCGGCCGCCGCGGGCGCCGCGCGGTCCTCGCGCGCCTTGGCCGCGGACCGGCTCCGCTGCTGCGCCGCGCGGGCCGGGTCCTCGCGGTCGTGAGGGCGGCGCCGGTCGACGTCGGGAAGCCGCTGGTCGTCGTCGGCCCAGGGGTGGCGCGCGTCCTTGATGGACGGGGGCAGCCCCGGCGCGAGCCGCGTCGGGGGCAGCCGCTGGGGCGGGTCGCCGCGCTTCCCGCCGCCGCCGCTTTGGCTGCCCTTGACCATGGCGCTCATGGCCGACGTCCACAGGGCCTGCCACTCCACGCCCGCCGTCGGCACGTCGGCGACCTCCTCGACGATCTCGAGCACGCTCCGCGTCGGCATGTCGTCGTCGGCGAGCGCCGGGTCCACGCCCATGATTTCGCTCCCGGGACGCGGCGCTCCCGGCCTGCCCACAACCGCTGCTGCGGTGCGCTCACGCGGGGCAACTTTGGCCGCCGACGGCATCAACATCTCAGCGGCGGCGTCAACAACTCGGCAGCGGCGACGAGCTGGTGCGAGCTGAGGCGCCGCGGACCGTCGACGCCGCGTGCACGCCGGTGAGCCGATCCATGGTCGTGCGCATCCGCCTCGCGCGCTTCGGGCGCAAGCACCGCCCCTTTTACCGCATCGTCGTCGCCGACTCGCGCGCGCGGCGCGACGGCAAGCACATCGAGCGCGTCGGCACCTACGACCCGATCCCCGCGAAGGACGGCATCAAGGAGGTGCGCCTGCGGACGGAGCGCATCAAGTACTGGATGTCCTGCGGCGCGCAGCCGTCGAGCAAGGTCGCGTGGCTCCTCGGCAAGGCGGGCATCCTGCCGGAGCAGCCGCGGCCGGTGCCCGTCCAGCTCCAACGACGGACCTTCGCCTCGCTCATGCCCCTCGTCGGCGCCGTCGGCGAGTTCCGGCTCGGCGACGAGTTCCGCCTCGGCGACCTCGTCCGAACCGCGCGCGCCGACGACGACGACCTCGACCGCTGCTGAGGCGGGTTTCGACGTGGTAACGTCGCTTTAGTCTTACTAGCGTTTCATCTTGAGCACCTGCGGGCTGTCCGAGTCCTCGGTGCCGGGCGCGCGTTTCATCTGGAACTTGATCGTGGGCAGGTCGGCGAGGATGCCGGGCTCGGGCGCGTCCTCGCCGCGGCGGTCGGGCTCGCGCTTCATCTTGATGGGATTGAGGTCGGCGGCCGTGAGGGTCTCCACGGCCGTGACGCCGCCCGGCGTCGAGACCTGGCCCTCGACGCCGCCGAGCGTCGCGAGCTTCGCCTTCACCGCGTCGGCTTCGGCTTTTCTCGCGGCCGCGCGCGCGCGGCCCTCGGCCTTGGCCTTCTCGCCGAAGCTGAGCTCCGCCGCGGGCGCCGCCGACGGCGCCGCGGCGCTCGGCGAAGAATAGCTCGGCATCTCCACGCCTTCGACGAGCGCCAGGGCCGGCGACGCGATCGCACCGCTGAAGGCGCCAGAGAGCACGGCGCGCCGCGGATGCATTGACAATGCATCTGAGCGGATGGCGACGAGCGCGCACAACAGGCGTGCAATCATTTGACGATAGGTGGGCCGCAAGGCGCGAGGTCGAAGCGCAAAGTGAGATCGTCGACTGTCTCGCAAGAGCTCGAGTGCACTCGAGGCGCGAGGTCGAAGCGCCAGGACGCGACAAAGATCGTCGACTGTCCGCAAGAGCTCCTCGAGGAGTGCAAGGTGCCCTTCAACCTGGATCCCTCTTACCACAGCCCCGCGCTCGCGAGCACCGAGGGCGTGTCGTCGAGGGCCGCGAGGATCTCGGCCTTGACGGCGGCGTCGAGGAGGACGGGCGCCTTGACGAGCGCCGGGAGCGGCGCGCAGGACGGGAGCGGCGGCGGCCGCGCGTCCGCCGGTGCGCCGTCGGACGGGTGCGTCGCGCAGTGGAGCCAGACGGCGTCGGCGTCCAGCGCCGCGAGGGACTTGGCCAGTTTCACGAGCTCGACGGCGGCGCGGGAGCCCGCGGAGCCCGGCGGCGCGTGGTGGAGCGCGAGGCGCGCGGCCGACGACGCGACGGGCCGCACCTGGGCAGGAAAAGAGTGATTCAACGCGAGTGTGCCGCGAGCGCGCGTTACGGAAAAAACATCCACGCTTCGAGACCGTTCCGAGAGATGATCGCTCGTCCAAAAATCAGCCGAAACGAGTGGAACATGGCCGAGATCGGAGCCTTTGACGTTGGGAATGTCGCTCTCTCGTGCCGCCCCGGGCCGCACCAAGTCGAAGCAATCCTCGCGGTCGGCGAAGCGCCGCACGCAGCGCATGGCCGCGACGACGACGCGGTCGCGGTTCCGCGGCGCGTGGCCGTCCTCGAGCGCCGGCGGGTCCAGCAGCAGCTTCAATCTCGGCCAGAGCTCGTCCTTGAACTTGAACGCGAGGAAGTCGCCGACGGCCGCCGCGAACGCCGCCGCGACGTCGAGCGCCGAGCCCACGGCCACGGCGTCGGGCCCGCCCCGCGCGTAGATGCGCGCCACGCCCGCCCGGTCCCGGGGCAGCCGCGCCGCGACCGCGGGCCAGAGGTCGTGGACGAGGGGCCGCACGTGCTCGGGCGAGTCGCGCATCCTGTCGGCCGCCGTCGCGACGACGTCGAGCGCGAGCGCGCGCGACCGCAGGTCGCCGGCGGCGCAGAAATATTTCGCGCGCTTGCACACGTCGATCACGAGCTGCTCCTCCGGCGTCGGGTCCTTGGGCTCGTCCTTGCGCATCTTCGCCGTGTGCTCCTGGGACCCGCGATGCAATTTCTCCGCGTTCGACATCCACGCGGCCGGGTCGCCCTGGGCCTTGCCGAGCTTGGCGGCCTTGACGCGCACGTCGTCTTCCGGGTCGTCGTCGAGGAGCTGCTGCTTCGATTCCAGGAGCATCTTGACGACGGGGTCCACGACCTCGGGGTCGACCGCGAGCGCGGCTTTCCGGTGCTCCGCGTCGCCGTACTTTCGCGCGAGACCCCGGAGCCAGGCGGGCATGGACGCGACCCGGGCGGCCTGCTCCGGCGTCGGCTCCGGCGGGTCGTCGCCCTTCCAGTAGCCCGTGTTCTCGACCTCCGGGTTCCGGTCCGGGTCCGGCGCGATCCGCGGCAGCGCGACGAGCATCGACCGCATCAAGCGCAGGAACTCCGCGGCGAACTTGGACCCGTCGAGGCAGTGGTCGTCGACGTCTCGCAAGGCGTTGCGCACGACGTCCCGCAAGAGCGGCGTCGCCAGGGAGCACTCCGAGTGGCGCAGCAGCGCCTCGACGACGGACGAGCTCAGCGCCGCCGTCTCCGGCGACCGCGCGCCCCGGAGCTTGCGGCAGGCCGCCTCGACGACGTAGTCCATGTTCGCCGCGAGGAGGCGCGGCAGGGCCGTCTGCGGGTCGCCGTCGGGCCGCGCCAGCGCGGCGATGGAGACCAAAGCGCCGAGCGCGGCCTGGCGCGACGTCGCCGCCTCGCTCGCGAGCTTCTCGAGGAGCGGGTAGAGCACGCGCCGCAACAGCGGCAGCAGCGCCGACGGCGACGCGCCGCGGCTCCGCGCGATGGCCGCCGCCGCCGCGAGGCAGCGGCAGAGGAGCGCCGCGACCTGGGCCTCGAGCGCGGACGCGCCGCGCCGCGCGGCCGCGCGCGCCGCGGCCTCGGCTTCCTGTTCCGAGACGTCCTTCCCGAAGGTCGTCGGCTCCGCGCCGCTCCGCAGGAAGAGGCGCGGCCGGGGCTTCTCCTCCGCGTCCGTCGGCAGCGCGACCTTGCCGAGCGACCACGCCGCGGAGCCCAGGACCTCGTCGGCGACGAATTCGGCCAGCACGACCAAATCCGGCGCGGCCTCGAGCGCCGCCGACTCCTCCGTGACGTCCTCGAAGCCCTGCTCCGGGTCCAGCAGGTCCGCGCGCGCGCCCGAGCTCGCGGCCTCGGCGGCCTCGGCCAGAATCGCCGCGTGCGCCAAGCGCCGCTTCAGCCAGCGCCGCCGCGCGTCAAAGTCGCCGCCGCGGCTCGGCTCCGCCTCGTCCGCGAGGCCCCGCAGCGAGTGCTCCAGGGCTAGCACCAAAGCGGACCGCGACGACCCGCAGAGCAGCCAGACCGCGCGGCGCGCCGCGTGGCGCGTCGCCGTCTGCCTGAGCCAGCGGTAGCAGACGCGGTGGTAGCGCGCGCCGCAGGCCATGGCGTGGGCGACGCGCCTCGCGAAGTCGCCGTGGCAGCGCAGGCCCGGCGGCGCGCCGTCGGGCGCGTCGAGCGCCTGGAGCGACGCCTCGTCCTCGACTTCGAAGGCGGCGACGAAGCCGTCGACGGCGGCCTCGACGTCGCGCGCGTCGAGGACCTCGCCGTCGAGGCGCGCCAGGTGGCCGCCGACGAGGTCGAGGCCGTCGGCGAGGGCGCCCTCGTCGCCGGACGTCGCCGCCGCCGCGAGCCGCGCGGCCGTCCGCCGGAGCGCGGCGCGCGCCGCGGGCCCCGTCGTCGGCTGCGCGCGCGCGCGCCGCGCGACGGCCGCGTCGTCGTCGAAGACGCACGACGCGATCGTGTCGCCGAAGGACGGCACGCCGTCGTCGCCGAAGAAGGCCAGCGACTCGAAGGCCGCGGCGGCGTCGACGGCGGCGGCGCGGCACCGCGCGGACGGGTCGCGGCGCGCGCGCGCGAGCATGGCCGGCACGTAGGCCAGGAGGCGGTCCCGCGTCTCCCGCGCCCAGGCCGGCGTCGGCGCGACGACCACGGCCGCGCCGAGCTCGCGCGGCGGGTCCCGCCGCCGATCCTCCGCGTCGGGCGCCTCGCTTCCGCGCTTCTTCTTCAACGCCGCGAGTGCCTATATACGACAAGAGGTTTTGTGACACTTCACTTTGAAGCGACACTGGCGCCGCGCGGACGACACGTCGAAGACGCGCTTCGGCGCCGCGCGCTCGTCGCCGCCGCAGGCCGCGGTTATAAGCGCCACCGCCGCCGCGAGCGCGTCGGCCTTGAGCCGGTCGCCGTCGCGCGGCGCCACAGGCCCGGAGACGATCTTGTAGAGCGGGCCGAAGAGGCCCGGCAGGAAGCAGCGCCAGAGGCCGCCGCGCCGCTTGAGCGGGGTGGCGGCGACCGAGGTGCGGACGAGCGTCAGCGCCGCGCGCCGCGTCGACCGGCTGCCGTCGCGCCGCTCCGCGAGCGTCATGGCGGCCTTGGCGACGGCGGCGACGAGGCAGCGGCCGTCGGGCGCCTCCGGGTCGTCCAACCGCTTCCAGAAGCCGGCCCAGGCCTTGTCGTTTTCGCCGAGCTCCGCGCAGCGGAAGATCGTCGTGGCGAGCGACGCGAGCGCCTCCGGCCGCTCTTCCCGATTCGTCGACGGCTCGTTGAGCCGCAGGCCCACGGCGCCGAGCAGCCGCAGCGCGACCTCGGGGCCGACGCGCGCGCAGAGCTCGCCGCCGCATCGTCTCGCGGCGGTCTCCGCGGCGAGCGCGGCGGCCTCGACGGCCGCCTCGCGCCGCCGGCCGGCCACGGGCCGCATGAGCAAGATGCCCAGCGGCAGCAGCGCCGCCGGCGCGTGCGTCTTGGCCGTCGCGTCGTCGGCGTCGGTCAATGCATGGTGGAGCCGCTCGCTGTAGAGCACGGCGTCGTCGGAGTGGTCGCCTTTCGTTTTCATGGCCGTCTCCGCGACGCGCAGGAGCGCCATCGTCGCCATCGGCGCCTCCTCGTGCGGCGCGAGGAGCTGCTGGGCCATGTCGCTGCCGTGGTGCTCTCTAGCAAGCGGAGAGGGGCTCCATTGCGAGAGCGTCGCCCGCGCCGGGGGTCAGCGCGCAGCGCCGTCGCCTGCGCGCGGGACGAGGTCGCTGGTCCACACTCGAATCATACCCGGTGCTAGCGCGTACGCCTCGTGCTAGCGGTCGCCGTCGGCGCGGGCGCGGAGGCCCTCCTGCGTCGCCGTCGAAGCCGCCGCGCGCTGGCCGCGGGCGCGCCGGCGGGCGTGGTCGTCCCGCTCTGCGGCGAGGCGGCACTGCTCCGCCTGGCCCGCGGCGATCGGCCCGGCTTCGGCAGCCGCCTTGGCCGCCGTCAGCAGGTCCTTCTTCGCTTCGTTTTATCTTTGCTCTCCTCTAGAACTTGACATTGGGAAGGTGTAGCCCTTCTCAGCCAGTCCTTGAACATGTTGTTCGCGGCGTCGACGGTCTCGGCGCTCATCGCCCCCCCCGCGGTCGCGCTCCTGGCCGTGTGGTGCGCGTCGTCGGCCGACGCGGCCCTCACGCTTTGCGAGGTCGACGACCTCGGCACGATCAACAGCATCAACGGCATCGCGGCGTCACAAGTTCTTGTTCGAGAACCGGATGGCCGGCGGCCGCCCGCCGCCCGCGTGGCTGGAGCCGCTGACGTGGATCAAGCACCTTCAATACTACTCCTGGCCACCCCCTGCGACGCGCGGCGCGTTCCTCGAGCGAGCCGATGTGAGACCGATTGGGAAGAGAGAGAGAGAGGCGCCGGAGGTGGCGGCTGATTGACTCAGCCGCAACTTTACATCAGAGCCTGCCGCCACCGCTGTCGTGCCCAAGCGCCAACCAAGCGGTGCCCGTGTCAGCAACGAGCGTCTCGGTAGCACCTCGCATCCATCTCCTTTCTCCTCCGCGTCGTCGTCTCCGCTGCAGCGCGAAATCCAGCTCGGAACCGCGCACGTGGCCAAGTTTTGCGTGTGAGTGCCGACAGAAGGCCACCACCGCGACGGAATAGCAACAACTAAGCAAGGGAATAGCACCACTCCCTCCCCACCATGCGGACCCGCGGCGCCGCGCGCAGCGAGTCCACGACCGTGTCGCCGGAGGACACCACGACCACGACGCGCCTCCGCAAGCGGTCGGCGACCGGCAGCGCCCAGGTGGAGAAGATCCAGGCGCCGCGGCAGTACCTCGACAGCCTCCTGCGCAACCACGTCGACCCGCCCTACGCGCCGGCCCTCGACCTCTTCCAGAAGCCGCAGCCGGAGCAGGTCGCGGGCTACACGCTCGCGGCGATGGACGCGGTGCGCAACGGGACGTGGACGCCCGCGGTCGGGCGGGCCGACGCGGCGAACAAGTTCGGCGTGACCGTGCTCCACAAGGCCTGCCGCGCCCAGTCCCTCGCGTCCGTCGAGACGCTGCTCGAGGCCGGCGCGCGGCTCTCGAGCTGCGACGCGGGCCGCGTCCCCTTACACGACGCGGTCTGGACGACGGAGCCCAACTTCGAGCTCGTGGGCCGCCTCGTCGAGGAGGACGCGACGCAGCTCTTCCGCCTCGACACGCGCGGCTTCTCCGCGCTCGACTACGCGCCCCAGGAGACGTGGCCCGCGTGGTGCGCGTTCCTCGACCGCGTCAAGCGCGAGCTCCGCGCGGCGCTCAAGCAGTCGGCGTCGCCGCTGGCGGCCGCCGCGTCGCCCCTGGTGCCCTTCGCCCACAACGTGTCGCCGACGCGGAAGAAGGCCTCGCGCGCGGTGCCGCCCGCGGCGCCGGGCGCCGCGGCGCGGCCCGCGCCGTCGCCCGACAGCCCGCCGCCGCCCGCGCGGCCCGAGGACGCGGCGGCCATGGCGCGCGTGCTCGGCGCCTGCGGCTCCCAGGGCGCGGCGCAGTTCGGCGCGGCGCTGCGGCCCTCGGTGCCCAGCGGCGACACGCCGCCCGACGGGAGCCGCAAGCTCGACGACAGCGGCACGTGGTGGAACCTCTTCTCCTCGAACATGCTCGACAAGCTGCCGCGGTCGTCGCTCTCGCCGACGCCCGAGGACGAGGCCGCGAAGCCCCCCGGCGACGCCGCCGCCGGCGCCGCGTCCAACGACGAGAACTCGCCGTCGACGTCGAACTCGAACTCGTCGACCTCGTCGCCCTCGGCGCCGGCCTCCGAGTCGCCCGCGTTCTCCATCTCGCCCGCGACGCTCACGCGCGTCGCCGCGGCGACCACCACCACGAACTAGCTTCCGATCGTCCTCTCTCATAAAATTGTCCGACTCGCCTTTGCTATGATCGGCGCCGCGGCAGTGACTTGGCCGGGCACGGCCTCCCTTCGCGCCGTCCTCGTAAATCCGCCGTTGATTCTCATCATCGGAGCCGGGCCTCGCGCTGATCTCGACACGCGCCGCAACTCACGCCTCAACCCGCCCCCGCAGCGTCAAATTGACTGCAACAAGATTAAGTTGCCCTGTCATCGAGAGCATGAGAAGATCTGCGCCGGGCTCCGCTGACTCCATCACGAAACCCAAGAGCTCATGAGATCCGCCACGGTCCGCCTCCTCGCGACCGCCCTCCCAACGTCCTCGATCGTTGTGTGCCAGAAGGACCTGCTGCCCACGAAGGAAGACAAACAACTACTCAGAGAGAGGCGCGCGCGCGAGGACCGGCTGCAAGCCTACATCAAGGGCGACGCCCTCGCGCTCTACCGCGCCGAGTGCCACGGCGGCCAGGAGCGGTCGCGCGCGTGCGCGGCGGCGCGCGACTTGATCGAGGCGCGGAGCCACGCGCTCATGCACCCGCCGGCCGCCACGGCCCACTCGCTGAAGCACTACCACCTGCGCCACGGCTGCACGCGCTGCACGCCCGCGGCCGCGGACGCCGCCGCCGCCGCCGTCGCGCGGACCAAGGCCTCGCGCGTCGTCGAGGTCGGCGCGGGCCGCGGCCACTGGGCGGCCGCGCTCGAGCGGCGCCTCGGCGCCGACATCCTCGCCTTCGACGACGGCTCGGCCGTGCCGTCCGCCGGCGCGCCGGACGTGTTCCCCGTCGTCCGCGGCGACGCGGCGGACGCGGTCGCGGTCGCGGACGCGCTGCTGCTCGTCTACCCGCCGCCGACGCCCATGGCGCGCGACGCGCTCGACGCCTTCGGCGGGCGCCTCGTGCTCTACGCGGGCGAGCCCCGCGGCGGCGCCAACGGCGACGCGCTCTTCTTCGACAAGCTCGAGGCCCACTTTTTCGTGAGGGAGGTGGTGGCGCTCGACCCGTTTCCCGGCGGCGCGGAGAAGCTCTACGTCCTCGAGCGGCGGCCCTGGTGGTGGCGCCGGGGCTTGATCCGCCGGAAGACGACGCCCGTCTAGAGTAAAATTAAAAAAGGACGACGCCCGTCTAGAGTAAAACTGCCAGTGGCACTTACACATCAGCGCGGCCCGCGCATCTAGAGTAAAACTGGCACTTAGCACCAGCACGGCCCGCGCACCATCGCGCGCTTCGGCGGCGACTGGTAGTCGAGGGCGTCGAGGGAGCAGCGTTTTCGGACGGGCGCCGGGCGCTGGACGTCCTGGAGGGGCTTGTTCCGTTTTCGCGGCGCGTCGTCGTCGGACCGGCGGCGCTTCGGCGCGCGGACGACGGCGTCGGTCGCGTCCATGGGCTCGGGCGCCGGGAGCGGCGGCGCGGCGGCGAGGATCCGGCACGTCGCGCCCAGGTCCTTCTGGGGCGCCGTCGTCGCGACATGCCGGCCGTCGAGGCCCAGGCGCCCCATGACGGCGAGCAACCACTGCTCTTCGAGGGCCATCTGAATGGGAACAGCCGAAGGGCGAGGCTCGACGTCGGACTCGATCGACTTCGACCGGGCTGTGGCTATGAGGGGAGAAGCAGGGAGAGCCTCTCTTTGGCATTTGCCGGCGCGCGCGCGGCCGGCTGTCCATGGTCACGGGCTACGGATCGCGGCAGACGTGCCTCTGGTGTGCTCGGAAACGTGCTCCGTGACCATGGACACCCTGACCGTCGTCCGGAATCGCTGCGCGAAGTTCGAGCATTTCGGCATGCTCTGCGAGCCGAAAGGCAGCCCATTTTGGGCTCTGGGCAGCGTGCTGGCTGGCTCGGAGGCTCGGGGTACATGTCTGATACCCTCGGGCTGCTCAGTTGCTGACTTGGCTCGGACGACGTGCGACACCGCGCGCGCGGGCGTGCGGGCGCGCGCGACGCGGTTTCAGCGCGAACATGTCAGATCGACTTCCTCGGGTCCGCGGGGCCAACCCTTGTGGCAGGGCGCTCTCGGGTCGACAGCGGACGATCCCTGCTGCTGCGCGGGGCTGCCCGGGCCGCTCACGGGCCGGGGGAGGGGCATCGCGTCCGTCAAATCGGTCGCCCGAAGCCGCTTGCGTTCTCAGCGAGTCGCAATCCAAACGCTGCCGCTCCTTCGCGGATGGCAGCCCCGATGTGTGCGCTATGCGCAGTCCCAGCGATCTTGCACGCGGGGGGGCGCGCGCGGTGGTAGGCGCGCTCGACTAAATTTAATGCGTCCATGCCGTCTCGGCGCTTCTCGGCCCGAAATCAGCGGAACCAAATACATACAGCGAGCCGATGAGCGGAACCAAACACATACAGCGAGCCGAGAGTAAACCAAAGCTCAACGGATCGCCGCCGCAGTGCACTGCCTTTTGGCCTGTTTCAGCCGCTGGCGCCGCCGCCGTCTGGCCGAGACGGCGGCTGTACCGCGTCGATTTGAGCGCGGTAAAGCCGTGACGCGCGGCGCATAGACCCAACGCGTGGGCCTGACTACTTTTTTCCAGCGAATCGCGGGCGCGCGGGCGCGCGGAGGTCGCGCTCTCGACGAATATATGCTCAAATCGTGTCGATCCCACCTCTCCGAGCCGCTCGTGGCATCATAGAGAGCCGTTTTGTTACCGCGGTCTGCTCCATACACGCCTCGAGCGGACTGAACCGCGAGAACACCCTCGGGGACTGTTTCGACTCCGCGGCCGCGCGTTCGAGACGAGCGCCGAAACGCCGACACGACCGCGAACGCTGCCAAAACGCCGACGGACGCCAAGACGCGGAACCGCTTGCGCAGCGCGACGATGGGGTTACGATAGGACACGATCGACGCCCCTGCGACTCCTGGCACGCCCGAACTCGCGCAAAGTCTGGGATCGTAGGGTATGGTCGCAAATCGATCCCTTTTGAGCCGATTTCGGACGCGCGCGACCGCGTTCGCGCGACTACTTTTGCACCGCGTTGTCGGTGCAACATATCTGGAGCGCGTGGGAAGCGGAACGGCTGGAATCCATGCTGTAGCGGCTGTAAAAGGTCTCAAAGCTTGTCACATGCTCTCTGAGCTGCTCGGAGAGCGGCCCGAGCGAGTTGGCTGGGGATCACGCCGGGAGCGGCGGGCGCCGTCGGCCAGTGCGCGCGACGATGGTAGTTTCTATGGTGAAAAATTGGTAAGCACCGGCGGGTACGCCTAAGGAAGGGCCCAGCAAACTTTCACGCCCAGTTGTGAGGGTGTTGCAGCGATCGGATGGCGTTCGTCCGATCCCTAGAGGGAATCCAGCCCCAAACCGACCCTTACGCGACGACACACGAGTCGTTTTCGGCGCTCTAAAGGGCCGCGCGCACGTCGGCATGACCATACGCGACGGTCCGGCCAAAAAGACCGCGCGACGGCAGCGTTTTCTCGTCGGCGAAAACAGCGCCTCTCGGGCACCGAAAACGACCCCGAAACCGTCGGCAAGCCAGAACGAGTCGCAGGGACGCGTCCGACACCTTGGGCGAGTCGTAGGGGCCCGTTCGTCAGCCGTCGTAGCTCGCGCGCTCTCGGAGAAGTCTGTTTTGACGTACAAAAGCACGTCATGATCTCGGTACAGCGTTCGCGCCACCGCGTCGAGGTCGCGAGCGCGTGCGAAATCCGTCTCCCAGCGCACCCGCGGGTTGGAACACGTCGAGACATATACAAAGCAGCTCCCATCGCAAAACGGCACGCTACGAAGCCAGTGGGCGCGCAGAAACGCTGGACCGCACCGATTGC